TCAATAAAACCTTCAGGTTGAATCATGTAAACATCTTCAACAAGTTCTCCATTCAGAAAAGTTGTCTTCACATCCATCTGGTGAAGTTCCAAATTAAAGTGTGCAACCAAAGCCATAACAACTCGAAAAGCATCTTTGGTAGAGACGGGTGAGAAAGTTTCTTTGTAATCAATCCCTTCTCTTTGACTACAGCACTTTGCCACTAGTCTGGCTTTGTATCTATCAATTTTACCATCAGGGTTACGTTTAGTTTTGAAAACCCATCTGCATCCAATGGCCTTGCAACCAACTGGTAACTCTGTGAGATCCCAAACACCATTAAGAGACATAGAATTTAATTCATCATGCATAGCATGCAGCCAATTAGAAGCATGAGAACAAGAAATTGCTTCATTAAAAGTGGTAGGATCATCATCATCATGAATGTCAAACTCATGCTCTTGGAGATACACAACAAAGTTATTTGATATTGTAGGCTTTCGAACTCTCAGAGAACGTCTCAATGGAACAACTTCAGTAATGTCACTTGGTTCAGCAACACCAATAGGCTCTAGAGTATCAATTTGTTCATGCTCATCTATTTGTGGTGACACAACTTGATCATTATTTTGAATTACTGGAATCACAACCTCATTATGGAAAGGAACGATTGGTATAGGAAGAAAAGTACGATCTTCTTCAAGAGTAACTGGTCGTGGCGTAGAGATTCCACTATCCAAATCACCCTAAAAGAAAATTGTTCTATCAGATTCAACGACTCGTGTAGAATGAGAAGGACAATAAAATCTGCAACCTCTAGACCCAACACTATATCCGATGAAGAAACCACTAATAGTCTTCATATCAAGTTTCTTCTGTTGAGGATTGTAATGTTTGACTTCAGCCTTACAACCCCAAACATGAAAATGTCTCAAACTTGGCTTCCTTCCAGTTAATAATTCATAAGGAGTCTTCGACACTGATTTACTATGCACCTGATTTAGAATATAGACAACAGTCCTCAAATAAAGGTCGAGAGACTCTTTCCAGTCCTCATAATTGGTCCCATTAAGAGTTTTGACAGAGTTAGGAAAAGAGACTGTCATGGAGGAATAAAGAATCATTAAATAAATGATTATGTAATATAGAAAATTGATTCCTCATATACCAGCCAAATATTTTCCTAATATAAAAAAAACTCTAACTCATTATGATCTTGCATCAAAGATACAATAATAAACAGAAACTTATATTAACAAAATTTTAATATCGATAGGATATTAAACATGATAAAATAAGCATAAATTGTCAACATTATTTTGTATCATAACAAAATTACACTAATAACAATATACCGATAGGATATGATAATTATTAATATAATACAGATCATAATTACAAATAAAATTTTATTTATTCTGAATTTATATTAATAATATATATATATATATATATATATATATATATATATATATATATATATATATATATATATATATATATATATATATATATATATATATATATATATATATATATATATATATATATATATATATATATATATATATATATATATATATATATATATATATATATATATATATATATATATATATATATATATATATATATATATATATATATATATATATATATATATATCGATAGGATATACTTATCATTATTATAAATAATTATTATTAACAAAAATTAATCGCGTAATTACCACACAAGAATTTATAAAATTATACTCACGATAGGTGAAATTATAATCATATGAATAAATAATATGTATTTTTAACAAATATAATAATTATTTTATTGTATTAATCAAACATAATAATTATTAATATAAATTGAAATAAAAGACTTATTGGAAATAATAAAATAGAGTATTTAAATGATATCAACCAGTGATAGGCTAATTTCATCCAAAATAATTAATATTATTAGTTTTTAATTTTGTGGACCACGTACCAGCAAACTATCCACCAATTACTTAGGAGAACACGTACTAGCAAACTATCCACTAATTAATTAGGAGAACACGTACTAAGGAATTGAAATTTAATCAATAATTTGTTCATGTATTTAAGGAAAATAAACTTGACTCAATATTTTATTCCTATATTTATGGACACCAAATTTTGAAAGAGTTCATTCCTAATTGACACAAAAATAAGTTTATCCGATAACAACTAATTACGTTGAACAAAACATATTTATCAGTATAATTATTCTGAAAATTGCATTACCATCAGAACGTGTTTAATGAATCTATAAACTAATGATTAAGTATAAATTCATTGAATCCAACTTCAATTCTCGACTCTGTCATGAAAAATACGAACATATGCAATTTTAATAATTACAAATGTATGATTATAACAAATAGTCATACAACATATCTAACCAGGCTCTGATACCAATTGATGAAAAACTAATCATAGCCTAATTATAAAAATCATATAGCCTAATTATAAATATGATTGTACGACATATTATAATATCAATAATGTAATAAACATGTACCTGTCATGGTTGAATCCATTTGGCTGAGTGTAAACTGCTTTCTGATGTAACGGTTACGTTTAATTATCTGACCTAATGGGATAGTCAAATATATAACCACCAGATGAGGGAAGGGACCTCTCAGCGGACTATCCAAAAGAATGACCAACCCATCACTCAACAATTAAATCCAATACAATATTTATTTAATTAAATAAATATTAATTAATATAATAATTATATATATAATAAAAAAATTAATTAAAGTAAATCCATTATAGATTTAACATTATAAACATTTATTTGTAATAGTAACCCTCTAACCTTGCCTGCAACCTACCCACTTCCTTTTCAGCTATGTATGCTTTTATTTGTCTTTGCTCTTCCGCAAATCTTTCTCTTTCAGCTTGCTCTTTAGCAAGTTTTTCTAATTCTTTACGTTTTTCCTCAAGCAAAAATTCTTCCATTTCCTCATTGTCTTGCTCAGCTATCACTGTAACTATTCCTCCACCCAAACTGTCGTTAGCTATGGAAAGTTGATTTAGTAATAAACCCTGCACATGCAATCACATTATTAGTGGTTGAAATACAGATCCATTAGGTGGTTGAAAACACACATAGCAGCAGCAAAAATTAGTAATTACCAAAACTATATAGCATGAATCCAAAACAAGAAAAAACAATGATCAACTAGGTAACTTGAAGTTAAAAAAACACATATAACCCTTTCATATAAACACATCATTGCAGACTATGATGCTGCCATGTTAGATATCTAATCATAAATTGTCTATAGCAGTTTGAAATGATAAACTTTTTTTCTATTCTATCATGCACAATACTGCTAACGTGTCATCTCATTTATAGTACTGTACATTTGACAATGCATTGCACAAGTTCATGGAGCTTATACCTATATCCATATTTTATTTAATTTTGGTCTCTAAACTTTCTAAGAAATGGAAAATCAATTGTTCAAAGTATGATCACATTGAATTTCACATAAGCAACTTGTATGGTTGGGAGCATAAGTAGCAGCTTGGATAAGAAGTTTAAATCCTTACATTCACACAATCACTGATTTGGACTTCTAACTTGTAAGACTCAAGTTCTAACTTGTAAGACAAGTTCTGACTTCGATTTTGTACCGAACCACTATGAAAGGGTTTAATCCTTGAGTGGAATGGAACAATACTCTTTCTGTCCCACAATGAGTGATCCAATTAACTGTTTTACATCCTCTGTCCCACAATGAGTGATCCGATTGACTGTTTTACACATATTAAGAAAAATGAATAGTTAAAAGAGAGAATAATATTTTTACTAAAATATATCATGTATTGGAAATAATGAAAATAATATTAATTAGAGGATAAAATTGAAAAAGATACATGGAAATTAAAATATATCATTCATTTTGAAACAATCTTTTATTTCAAATGAGTCACTCATTATTGGACGGAGAGAATATATTGGTGATTTGATTCAACCTTTTAGTGGTTAGAGTGGAACGGAACAGTTGAATTGGATACACTTTTTATGGTGAGTTGATAATCATGGACCTAATTCTATGACTAATAATAGGGTTCAATGGTTGATAATTACTAATTGTTGCTACTGCTATGTATGTTTTCCATATTATTCTATTTGAGGAAGAATGATGGTGTTGTAAGGAAGAGAGTGATGCATAGCTAGAAGCAGTAGTAAAAGCAGCTAGAAACAAATTGTTATTGAAGTCCCAGAAACTAGAAGAAAATTGTTAATGAAGTCTCACATTGGTTTATTCACAAATAATTTTAGTCTTTATATAATTCATACAAACACCTACTAACATCTATTTATAGATAGGAATTATATTGTATGGACTTGGCCTCAAGCCCAATCATTTCTTTTAAAAAAAATTAATTTAGTTAAAATAATTATTAAATATTAAATTAGTTAAAAATATATTAGTTAATAAAATATCTTAATCATCCTTGTCAATTAATTAAAAATATTTTTTTATCCTAATCATTATTAACATGCATGCAAAAGTAAAAGAAAACCACGAAAATCTAAAAATCAGAATCGTTGGTTTTATAATAGGATACCAATTATATAAATCGTTGAAATTAAAAAGACTAAAAGTGCATTTATGTCAATTTCTTATTATAAATTTCTTAATAATGTCCTCAGAGTAGCCTAATTTAAAAAATGTATTCCCTATATTTCAAAATCTGCAATCTTCCCTTTTCATGTATTTTTCATTAAGTTACATACATATTTAGTAATGTTTTTATGCAGTGATTCTATAGGAAATAAGCATACAGAATAAACACTTCAGATTTCTCAATATTATCAAGGGCAACGTACACTAGTTTACATTTCTCAGAGGATATAGATTAAACGGAGACAAATTATACAATCTACAATACAACAAATCAAAATAATCAAATTGTGGCCCAGCTGTAACATATCCAGGATCAGCTGATTACTTTGAATAACAACGTGATGAGCGGTGTGTGACCTTATTTTTTGAAAGTAGAGAATCTGGGAAGCTTGTGTTTTAAATAGTACAATCTTGCCCTCCTGACCTTTCGGTGCTTTACCACTTTGATTTCTTTGATGTTTGGAGAGTACCTGCAACAAGAAAACATAAGCATCATAATATATAATATCCCACAAGAAAAATTCCATTAAACACAATTTTAAAGCCAAGGTAATGAAAATTCCATTGGTGTCACGATACATTAGGCTAATTTACTTGAATAAAATATTTCAGATTCTTAAAATCATATTTCATAAACCCTTTCTATGCAACATAGACCTTAGACAAAAATTCTGCATACAATCGCACACATTTACTAGCAATCAACAGGCACGTTAGAACCATATTGAAACAAACTTTAATTTCACCCTCCATTCCTTTAGAGGAAAGAGATATCATCATCGTTAAACTTCAAATAGAACTGAAAAGGCATTCTCAAAAGTGTTGGGAAGTCAAACAGAAAAGGTTGCGAAGTTAAAACCCTCCTATGGTGTGAGTGAATCAAATTTGTAAGAACAGGTTATTTTCAGTTCTATTGGTCTCTGGCGAGTGCTCCTCAACCAATTTCTTAGCAATTAACGGTGCACAGTTGCAGACTTTAACAGGCAACCAGGGTACCAGTACTAGCATGACATTAAAAACGAATGCATCGGTTGGGAATTAATCTATATTTTTTTTTATAAATGATAGGAGTAACATTAAATTATTCTATTTCCTTTTCATATTTTTAGTCATTCAATATCTCTCAGTCTTAGGGACTTCAATACATCAATAATAATAATAATGTTAATCGAAGAACTCATCCCGAATTCACATCTTCTAGTTTCAAGATCTGATATCCTAGTCACAACAATTGGATACATGGTGATACACAACAAGACCTCCAAAAGAAACATTAAAAGGGTGAAAATTATACTACTAATCATTATTAAATTATCGGGAGAGAAAAGGGAAGAGTTAGGATACTTACAGAGGGAAGGTTATCTCAACACCTGTGCCAGCAATAATTCTTCGGACTCGAATAGTAGTGTGAATACCAGCATTTTGTCTTGAGATTACAATACCTTTGTAAAGTGATAACCTACGCTTGTTCTCGGGAACTTCCTGCAAGTTGAACAAAAATTTATCACCATTAAATTCATCTGTCTAAAACCCATGTTAAAAATGTTAATTTAAGAAAAAAAAATTAACAATACCAATTTGATTTCTACAATATCTCCAGTCCTAATGTCCGGAGTGAACCTCACTTCATCCGAAGCCTCAATTGCCCTCTTATGCAATATCTTCACAAACAAAATCACACATTTTTCAAACACATTTAGAAATGATATTCAAAATGTGAAAAAACCCTAGAGAATTTAAACATTCAAGCATTCTAATTAACCTTCAAAATAGAATAGAATCTTAATAATACAACAAAAATAGTTAATTAACAGTTCGAATTGCGATATGGAAGAAAGAGTTCACCCCCATAACATCACCAAGCTTGACCCGAGTTTGTCTTGGTGGCTTCAATGGTTCAACCTCTGGTTCAGATTCCGAAATCTGTTCAGCATCAGTTTCCGGAACCTCATCTACAACATCCGAAGCGGAAGCAGCGTCGGGATTGGAATCAGCTCTAGCAATAAAAGTAGGTTTAGCAATGAGAGGACTGCAACGCCGTGAAATTGAGGTTGAAATCAACGGCAAGTTACGAGAACCGAATGTGGAGGCAGAGGAAGAAGAAGATGCGAAACATAGCTTGCTCGGAAGACATTGATTAGGGGAAAACAGAGCCTGAATTCAAATTGTGAATTATGTAGCGTAATTGAAAATGTAACAGTTTTGACATTCAATTGCGTAATGATAATGAGATAAGAGAAGAAAAACCTGAAGAAAAACTTGAGAAGCCATGGAAGAAGAGGGAGATTAGGGTTTGGAGAAGAGGGTTACTTCAGTGGATACGAGTCATGGAAACACCACAGAGCGCAAACGTGGGAAGAAGATGAAGGTAAAGGAAGGTCTTACAAAAACAGAGAGTTCTTATCTGTTTCTATCCATTCCACACCTGTTGGGCCTGGACTGCCAAAACTCTCCGGGCCTTAGTTCTTAGGCCTAATAACAAAACAAATTTATTTCATTATATCCCCAAAATAACTTATTAGCATTTTAAACCTTTATTATAAATTTATTTCACATAAATGTTGTGACAGTGGTCCAAAGAAATCAACAAATTACTCATAAGCTTGTAGTGCATGGAAATCACTTTAAGGAAGAGTTTAGGATATCTAGATTTAAGATACATTTAACAACTCTCATCATTTTACGCCTGTCTGAAGAATAATAAGTGGTTACAAACGCTCCACTATATAAATGAAAATGTACAATTTTTCAGGTAAACAATTTTAAATTCAAATTTCATTCACTCATTTGATTCACATACTAATTGGAGCATTGAAGTGCTAATTTTACATGCTAATCTCTCTTACACTGTCCCAGAAGTTCAAGTCTACCGTTGCATCTCATAACCTATGTCCTCCAATTAATTTGGGTTCTGGTACAGAACTGTGGCGACTTCTATGAAAATTAACTTCACATTATCGCATTTTCCACTATTGAATACTCTTACTTTGATTCACTAATTCAAAGCTTTCTCAATCTAGTCGATTGAAATTCCTTAAATCAAACTTAAGATTCGCTGCTTTCGATATTTTCCAATAGCAGGTCAATTTCGATTTTTAGAATTCCCAAATCTCTAGTCTTCAGATCCTTCAATAATGGTTGGATCTAAAGCCACTCACTCAATGGCTTTACACGAAGTCGTTGATGCTGCTCAAGCCGCAAGATATCAGTCACCTCTTCTTCCTCCTTAAGGCAGTTTGGATTAGGCTTTTATAAACACTATTACATCCAAATCTCTTCCAACCTCTTTAGATTGCAGGATCTACTCTACAGCTCCAACAAGTTAAGCCTTTACCCAGACCTCTAACATCGCCATCAAACTCAAGACCAGAAGCTTTATCTGGTTTCTAGTTGTTATAGGCTAGCCTCCGAAGTGTAAACGAGTTTCTGAATCGTATGTTGTTTACCGTTGTTTTTAGTAAATCAATTCACAAGTTCAAATTTTCTTACAAGATTAAACTCAAAAAGATCATAGGAACATATTGTGCAAAAATGTTAAGAAAATTTGTTCATGCTTGATAACTTCAAGTTTGAAAGTAGAAAAATAAAGTGTATACTGGTTTGAAAATGTAAAATAAATGAAGAAAATCATAAAAGAGAATCGAGTAAAATGCTTAGATTAAAAGGTGGGATGTAGATTCATATATTTCTCATAAACTCTAGGATCTCTGTAACTTTGATGTTTAAATTCTATATAGAATAACAATGAAAAAAGTGAACCCTTATTAAAAAGATAAATCAACTTATATACATATACATCATTAACCTTCGACAACAGTCAACTCTCCAGCACTCAACATATACACTATTACATGGCCTTTTGTTCTCGGCATTGCTTCCACATGTTTGCAGCCCTTAAACTGTTGTAAAATAACTATTGTTTTTGAAAGAACATCTCCAAGTCTCCTAACTTCCTTTGTCGAGAATCTTTCCCGTCGGAGCTTGTGACTTTGGTGTCAAAAACCTTATTTAGCTATTTATACTTAGCCTGATTTTTTATCTCACCTCCACTTTTTTTCGAACATACTGGGTCTAAAATCTCAGGCTAACATATGTATAACATAGTTTGCTAACAAAATTTTCAAATGATAGAATAAAAACTGCTTTGTCTTGAAAATATCTTACACAACGCGCCTCCGAATGGGAACACCATGCCATAAGTCACCTCCAGGAGAAGCCAAACTATCATCCCTAATTTGGTCACATCGCAAAGAGACGCAATTCTAAAATATAAAAATCACCAAAAGAGAAAGGGACGTCAAACTCTTTCTCAAAGCCCTAGGGGAGACCGAAAAGTCACGATCCTCCTTCGAAACAAGTAGAGAAACCACCATTAAAGAATCTGCAGAAGCATTCTCTTTGCACCCGCATCCTAGACAACTAAATGCCAAAGTTGCTAGAATAACCTCCAAAAGTGAAGGAGGTTCCAACGAGTATGTACAACTCATTGATGAATGATCAAATTACTTCTATGAAAATGAAGCGGAAAATGCAAACTTATTTTCACCTACACTAACAAGATCCATTATGCTCTGGTTCAAAGGCTTTCTGGGATGAAGTATTGAATAGTGGACCGATCAATACGAGAGCCTCACCACTCACTCACAACTCAGAAGAGACAATTGGTGATAATAGCTGCCCTCAGCGAGATAACGCATGGAAAAAACTTGTGCTCATACCTTAACCATTTCACGCTAGTGGTTGTGGACGTAGAATGAGTGGAAAAAGGCCTTAAGTGATGGATCTTTGAGAATGGTCTAAGGCAAGATAGGCCATTTAGGGAGAAATTAGAGCACAGGGAGGCCCATAGTGTGAAAGAACTGCTCGACAGATCATAACCTTTAACTAACCTATAGGAAGAAACTTAACACTGAGTTTAATAACCCAGCTGCGAAAGATGCAGGTTATGGTCGATTGTCTGGGAAAGACTTCCACGGGCAAGGGAAGAATACCATTGAGGAATACATGGATAGTAAGACAAGTACACCTCTTTGAACACTTTTTAAGAGAATATATATCAGGAGTTTGCCAACACAGAATTCTAGAAGGTCGGAATCGGAAATCCCTTCCCTGTTAGAGAGTCTTCCAGAACTAATAAGACGAAATATTATTATTTTCACAATCAGGGGTTTGATAAAGAGGGTTGCTTGTCTGAATATACCAAGGGAGACAAGAAAGACAGGGACAAGTCATCAAAAAATAAGTCTCCATCCAAGATTGTGGATGTCGATTCTAATGGTGAGAGGACTAGTTGTGAAAATAATGGGGCAAGTAAGAGGAAGTGCCAACATACTGCTTCCATCACTAGGGGAGCACCCTAAGCGAACATCCCGTAAAAATGGACAATTAAGAGGAATATTATGGAATGAATGGTCGTCCATAAGAAAGATGGAAACACCTTAGCCAAGACATCGAATATGTCAATGCTTGGTTCCCGAGATAACGAGAAAGTCAGGGGTGCCCTGAATGATATATTCCCTTAGTTATAACTGTTATGGTCGACCACTTTGATGTGTCACAGATACTTATCGATAGTGGTAACATGATGTATAAAGAGTTATTTGAAAAAACATGCCTCGAGAAGAAGAATTTATGGTCATCTAAAGGGTCAGAACAACAAGCGTTCAACGACACTACCACCGCCCATGGGGGTACATTGAGTTATTGATATCTGTGGGGAAAGAAATAGAAGTCAGGATCATAGACTCACAATTTCTTGTAGTCCCTTGTGAGGTCATAGAGATTAATGTAGCATCCCATCATCGATTAGCTAATGAGTATGAACATTCTGCCTCTTGGAAAATAAATAAATCATGTCGGTCCCATAGTCAGAAGTGGCTGACTCGACAAGCTATGAACCTGGGAGAATAAGTTGTGGCAAGCCCTCTTGGTTATGTTTATAACTTTATATTTAATGTTATTTCTTTTACAAGTAATTACATCACAAAGTGTACTGTGATCTTTCCTTTATTAATGAAAAAAAGAAAAGTTATAAGATAACTCTTTTCTTTGTGTTCATGTAATATAGAGAAAAGTATGGGGTACGACCGAACGGATCTAAGCCCCAACACAAAGATTCATGGGTGTTGTCATAAACGCCACAAGTATGTGACCAAAGAAATAAAAACCCCATAACACAAGACACAAATACACACAAAGAAAGTGGTAAAACTACTTAATCGACTAGGGGGAAGGGGTCTGCCCCACGTCAACCTCAGAGTAGGTTTCACCTAGGGGGAAGGGGTACCAACCCTTGGTTGGACACGACCCTAGAGACTTCCAAAAAAATTAGAGAGAAGACCTCATAAGTTAGCACATAGTTTGGAGTAGTTGACACAGGATCAAATGCATATGCCTCAAACAGGAGAAAGCAATATCACAACATTAATATTTTCATTCACACTTTCTAATACAGTGTATTATATTTTAAAAAGGACAATTAATCCCTAAGTGAGACAACTCTTCCATCTTTAAGCATATGATCTGCTTGTACTTGCTCACTTGAAACAAGTAGAGGAGAGTGAAAATGCTCTACTTTCTACATAGCATCCTCAAATAACTATGAGACGACTATGTTACTAGCGATGGATGATTCATTTAATTTATGAGCCATAAAGGCATTCTCAAGACGTAGTTTTCAAGGTCTTCTTCAACATCAAAAAGAGATGCCTTCGTAGAAGATAAAGTAGTATGTGCAAAGGCTAGAGCTTTATTCATCCTTGTTATGCCCCTCGCTAAAAGTGTTACCTGATTGATCAAAGAGTCAAGAAGATTGAAGGCAATTAAAGCATCACCTATCTTAGTAAGAGAAACAAAAGCTTTTTGTACTTCTTGCATGTATATATCGTTGAAGTGTCAAGTTACGAATACTATCCTCCAACAACCGCTTCTCTTTGAATATATTTATTGTCATTACCTACTGACACTATCATCCACCTAAATAAGTAAAAATGCAAACCATGAGTTGATAACTTGTATCTACAAATAAGTAAGGATTCATAGATTTTGTATTATCATTGATTACTAGCCTGCTTAAGGCCATATAAATATTTATTAAGTTTGCAAACCTTTATAAGATTAGAATGTAAATGATTAATGTTCATTTAGGAGGAAAAGACATAAATTTTCTCATTTAAGTCACCATGTAAAGAAGCCTTATTCATATTTAATTTCTTTAAAAACCAACCATTAACAGAAGCAAAATCAAGTATTGTTCTACTATTAATTAATTT